TTGGAATCACACTAGACGCGAAGCTTCAATGGAGCCCCCATATATCAAAACTAGCAAGCAGACTTAGTTCTGCAGCATATGCTGTAAAAAAGATTAGAAGTCTAACCAGTGTTGAAACAGCTAGACTAGTTTACTTCAGCTACTTCCATAGCATAATGTCGTATGGTATTTTGCTATGGGGACACGCAGCTGACACTGAAATTATATTTGTTTTGCAAAAGAGGGCCATAAGAGCAATTTATGATTTAAAGCCTAAAGAGTCGCTGCGACAAAAATTTAAGGAAATTAATATATTAACTTTGGCCTCTCAATACATTTATGAAAATGTAATGTACGTACACAAAAATAAAAGTAGTTTTACAAAAATAAGTGATATTCATTCTGTAAATACTAGGAACAGACACAAGCTAGTAGTACCAGTTACTCGACTCCATCGAGTCAGTAATTCATTCTTGGGGCGATGTATACGCTTTTACAACAAAATTCCAGAAAATATACAAAGTTTGACCTGTTCAAAGTTCAAAAACTTTATTAAACTAAGTTTGTATAAAAAGGGTTATTATAATATTAAGGAATTTATGGATGATAATAACCCCTGGAAATGATGTGATCGCTACCAAGCTATTTCTAATTTGTTGTGTTGTTAATTTGTGTAACATCATGATTGTAAGCTGATATTTTAAAAAAAAAAAGTCCCGCTGGGTTTCTTGCTGGTTCTTCCCAGGACAGAGGTTTTTTCCGAACCAGTGGTAATCAAACAAAAGAGTGACTTTCAATAAGTATTATTTATAATCTATATTGAATAAAAAAGTTTCTGTTTCTGTTTCTGTTTCAAAATACAGTCTAAAAGCTTTTAGAAAATTTACTTTGCAAATATCCGCGTTATAAAATAAAATGATGGTTACTCCCGGGATTAGTGGTGCCGGAATTAGTGGTGACGGGGATAGTGCACGCAATTGAGGGAGGGCGGGAGGTGCTTTTCATACTAGGTAAGACACATCATTTTATTTTATAACGCGGATATTTGCAAAGCATATTTTTCTAAAAGCTTTTATATAATGGATTTCCGCAAAGTAACGCCTGATTCTATTAATTATAAAATACAGTCGCTACCATACGCCGCACAACACTGATGTTATCTTCAGTCGTCGCCGTAGAAGACCGACCATCACGCAGATCATCGGTGAGATTAGTGCGACCACGTTTAAACTCATTAAACCAGTTGTAAACAGTGGCACGCGATGAGGCTTTATCGTGAAAGGCCAATCGAAGTCTATCATAATTTTCGTGATGACTTAAATCATCGTAGGAAAATTTTCTTGCGTTAAATTCATGCAGACGTGACACAGACAATGTTCCAATTTGCCGCCAAATCGTAAACAAATGACAAATTAATAAATACATACACAATAATATTGGCAGAGTTCCATTTTCAAAATTTGAACTTATTTTTTATTATATCGTTTAGAAGTGGCCAGTTATAAAAACTTTCAGTGTCGCCCCCGTACATTATAAAAATTAGTGAGGAATGTGAGACCTTCATAGAAAACTATAAATTGTTGCACCGCCTATACTTCGCTAAGGAATTGGGCTATAGAGTGATCCCAATAATAAGCTTACCAAGACTGGATCACCTGAACCCGACGGATAGTGAAGCAATTAACCTGAAAGGTTTGCCTTAGACGACCTGAAACATCTAACATATGTATTGAACGAAATCTTAAGTTCGGTGGCAGTGAACAGAGTGATCAAAGTGATAACAGTGTAATAAGGATTGAAGGTTTTAGCTTAGCAACTGTGGCGGGTGGAAGGAAAAGGGGAGATCTCTCGCCGGGCAAGGTATTCTGCCCGGGGAGGGGCCAACGCTCCGAGTGGTAGTTCGGAGCTATTCTATATATACTGCTTTAACTTCGGAACTTTGTTAGCGTGATTTAGACTTCGATATGTTTCGCTTGTGGCGCGACGACAGCGCCGCCAAATCACCCCCCTGCTCAGACCGGAGGTCGATAGTGCATTCCGATTGCCGGTACGAACTTAATGCCGGTGGCGAATGCATGCTGTGTGCGTAAGGGCAAGTGACGCCGGTGCGAACGATATACCGGCGTGTAATGCATGCCGTACTACGCACTTGCAAGTGATGCGGGTGATAACGATGAGCCGGAGTAAGTGCCAGGGATTGTTTTATTACTGTATGTCATTTTTCCTATTGTTATTATCTTTAGTGTTTTAAGAAAATATAAAAGTAATTTAGTTAACAAATGGCGAAATCATTGGACAACAGCTGAAAACACTGAAGCCGATAACTCCGCTCTTAGAAAGGGAGAAGTTATGCAACCACAAGACCACAGGGTTGTGAGGGTTTGTACCTAGAGGGTGCTGCATAAACATTAGGCTGTATCCAGTAACTGTAGTCAGCGCTTTTGGTTGCATGAGATATCCGGTTCAGTGCGGATAGCACACCAAGCGTGCCATCGATTATTTTTGTGTGGCGTATGACACGCGAGTAGTGTATTTTTTAAAATCGTTATAACTCGCTCAAATTGCGTTTTTGGAAGATTTATCCAGAACAAAATATTCATTATTTTGCAAGTAGTTCATGCCTACAGCTTCATTTCTGGATATTTTGAAAATTTGAAATTTTTAGGGGTTGACAACCTTTTCTTAACTTGTACATGGTACTCTTTTTACTTTGTGGGTTTTAAATCATGTTGTGGAAAAATAGTCTAATAAGTAACAAATAATAGCACTCGTTGCGATCGCTCGCAAACTCAAGTTGTAAATAAATTTCTGGAAAACAAGTCTCCTGTAAAAAAAAAAAACAATGCGTTTGTCTTATTGTTTAATTTTGCTTAAAACGATTGAACTGCCGTCTTATTACTATCATATGGCCGAATAGACCTACGAAGTACCATGTGCTCTTGTGATATGGTATAAGGTTTAGTTTTGCTTGAAACAGTTCGAAACCGTTCACGCATAAAAAAGTTCGCTAATTAATAGTCTTTTGTCAATCCGCCGCCGTATAGCGTCGGCGTTTTTTTCCTTTTGAAAACACTTGTTTTACTATTTTTACTAATTAGACGTTTTCAGATCCACTTTACTTTTACATTTGTATAACATTAGATAATATTTAACATTTGTAAATATCAATGAATATATAAACCTTATTTTTCACAAATGAGGGTTCTTGATTTTTGGATATTTACAAATGTGATAATTAGGTGAAAATTTAATTTAATAAAAACTAAGATTTTCCAGAGTGATTTAGCTGTACCTACTTATATAAATGATTTTTTTTATAAAACAAAAAATAGTACAAAAGGTTTGTAACCTCTGCATAAAAAAGTCACTTACTATCAATTTCAAAGAAAACACGTAGTTACCCACTAAAAACAAGTATCCTTCCGTTTGCAACTGATGTTTGATGTCAATTAAACTTAATTAAGTCTAAACAAGTGAAAAAAGCATAAAAAAGAAAATTATTTTTACACATGGCTGATGGCACAATAGACGTGTCATCAACTTCTGTGGCACTCGACACGCCAGGCGTGTCGTGAAATATTTGTTCGCCGCCACAGCTAAAAGTTGTCGGAAATCGGTGCCGCAACGAATAGGTTAACAGGCAGAGCTCACGGGAGCGGCCACTTCGTTTTGACATCAACTTCTGTCACGACGTGTTAGTTAAGTAATTACAATTATATGTTGTAATTAGAAATAAATAGATTTGAAATAGTTTTTAAAAAATCATTTTACCTTCCCGTAAACTTGAGAACATTTATAATTTGTTTTTGTTGATTTGTTCAACTTGTAGCTTTTACTAAGGCTAAATAATGTAAAAAATATGTTCCTACTTAATTATAGCGAAAAATACATTGTGATTGTTTAAAATGCGTTGTTTTTGTTTGATTCTTCTTCTTCGTCTTCCTAGACTTTATTAATCCCACATATCGTAAGGTATTAGAAATAAAATGAGTAATTAAAAAGTCTGTAAATTATATTCCAATTTACGTTGAGGTTTAAAATGCTAACATAGCTTAGTACTTTCTTAGTATAATGAGGCAAGTGATGTAACTTCAACATTTTATTATTAAATGAGATATAAAATCCCGAAAACAATCAAAAGTAAGATGATATTAATAAAATCAATAATAACTTAAAAAAACTAAACAAAAACATTCTTTTGTAGATAACCGAACTAAAAAGTAGAAAATAATTTTCAATAAGTTGAAAATAAGAAAATAGTAAATAGTTTCCCGACTTACTTAAAATGTATCGTTATATTTGGCCAATTTACACAATATATTTATGAATTATATCTAATGTGTTATTCTGATGTATAAGCTATATAATTGTAAAATTAAAATTTGTCATTAATTTCATTAAAATCCATTTAGTAGTTTTTGCGTGAAAGAGTAACAAACATCCATACATCCTCACGAACTTTCACGTTTATAATATTAGTAAGTTTCGCAAATCCTGAGGGTCCTGACAAGGGTAATGAGAGAAACTATTTAAATTATTGCAATGTCATCGGATAAGTGTGCGAAGTTTCAAATCAATTCCACGTTTTGAAGGGTATGTAAATAACATTCAAAAATTCTGTTATTTAGATACATACCAAGCTTATAAAGGCGTGTTAATGACAATCATATTTTATAATATCTTAGCGTAAACCATGGATTTTGATGTACAACGTACATGAACATAACTAGTAGAAACCATTTTACTATTGAATCCCGCCAGCTTAAACCCAGTTGTGTACATAAAACGTCATTAAAAAACAAAAACATGCAAAATTGCATTTTATACCAAAGGAAGACCAAAGCTAGCAAATCTTTATTAAAAAAAAATTCTAATTAGTTTGATTTCATTAAAATATAAAGATTTGCATTCAAAACGCTTTGCTATAAAATTACTATAATGTCAGTTGTCTCATTATACTTAGTGTATATCAGTGTTTACTTAATATTTAAAAAACAGTGAAGCATTTGGACAGAATGTCATCATCGATGAGTGTTGACGGTACGCTGCACGGTGGACATGCCGTCCACGAACTTGGTGCGGAACAGCACGTTGGCGTTGTTGAACATGCCGTCCTTCAGCGACACGATGATGAACTGCGGACAAAGTTATAGAATTTTAGTGGTATCTACCAATTTAACAAAAAAGTTTTTTATTTTAAAAATAAAAACACTACAATGGAATTCATATTCAAGATAGGGGCTCCCCTAGGGGACGACTCTGCTATGTGTCGAATTCAACCTTCAAGTATTTAATAGACAAAAGATGGGCAGAAAAATGGAGATTATTAGACAGATGTCAGGGGTTGATTGATGACTACCCAAATTTCGTCAATCAAAAATTCTCTCCGTATAACTTCGTATCAAAAAACGTAAACGTTGAGGCATTATAGCAAATACCAGAAAATATGACTTCAGATAGATTGTGGTGTAACGTCAGACTATTTTCTACGCCATATCTAAACAGGCGACGAGCAGTGGTGTCAAAAGTATAAGACGTCGGGAACTATAGAACAATCCGTAAATATTGAGGCAAATCGCCCAACAACGGTAGAGTCCTATGTTCAGCAAACGACTTTTACGAGCTAACTTGGATGGATAAGTGTAGTGAGACTTCTTATTGGAAACGTGGAATTTTATCCTAGTTCTTAGGGGTGACAGTGCATCTGGATTAAGATTGTTAATCGAGAATAGATGTCAACAAGACATAGCAACCGCTTACCTTCGGGTGAACTGTGTGCTCGTTCGGCAACCTTACTCTATAAAAACAAAGCTGTATTAGCAGAGCTGCTCACCTGCGAGTGCTTGAAGTGCTCCTTGAGCATGTGTCCGATGTTCTGCGTGTGCGAGAGGTCCAGCGCAGCATCCACCTCGTCCAGGATGTAGAGCGGCGCCGGCTTGAACAGCAGCATGGCGAGCACCGGCGAGATTAGCAGAGCTGCTCACCTGCGAGTGCTTGAAGTGCTCCTTGAGCATGTGTCCGATGTTCTGCGTGTGCGAGAGGTCCAGCGCAGCATCCACCTCGTCCAGGATGTAGAGCGGCGCCGGCTTGAACAGCAGCATGGCGAGCACCGGCGAGATTAGCAGAGCTGCTCACCTGCGAGTGCTTGAAGTGCTCCTTGAGCATGTGTCCGATGTTCTGCGTGTGCGAGAGGTCCAGCGCAGCATCCACCTCGTCCAGGATGTAGAGCGGCGCCGGCTTGAACAGCAGCATGGCGAGCACCGGCGAGATTAGCAGAGCTGCTCACCTGCGAGTGCTTGAAGTGCTCCTTGAGCATGTGTCCGATGTTCTGCGTGTGCGAGAGGTCCAGCGCAGCATCCACCTCGTCCAGGATGTAGAGCGGCGCCGGCTTGAACAGCAGCATGGCGAGCACCGGCGGGATTAGCAGAGCTGCTCACCTGCGAGTGCTTGAAGTGCTCCTTGAGCATGTGTCCGATGTTCTGCGTGTGCGAGAGGTCCAGCGCAGCATCCACCTCGTCCAGGATGTAGAGCGGCGCCGGCTTGAACAGCAGCATGGCGAGCACCGGCGAGATTAGCAGAGCTGCTCACCTGCGAGTGCTTGAAGTGCTCCTTGAGCATGTGTCCGATGTTCTGCGTGTGCGAGAGGTCCAGCGCAGCATCCACCTCGTCCAGGATGTAGAGCGGCGCCGGCTTGAACAGCAGCATGGCGAGCACCGGCGGGATTAGCAGAGCTGCTCACCTGCGAGTGCTTGAAGTGCTCCTTGAGCATGTGTCCGATGTTCTGCGTGTGCGAGAGGTCCAGCGCAGCATCCACCTCGTCCAGGATGTAGAGCGGCGCCGGCTTGAACAGCAGCATGGCGAGCACCGGCGAGATTAGCAGAGCTGCTCACCTGCGAGTGCTTGAAGTGCTCCTTGAGCATGTGTCCGATGTTCTGCGTGTGCGAGAGGTCCAGCGCAGCATCCACCTCGTCCAGGATGTAGAGCGGCGCCGGCTTGAACAGCAGCATGGCGAGCACCGGCGGGATTAGCAGAGCTGCTCACCTGCGAGTGCTTGAAGTGCTCCTTGAGCATGTGTCCGATGTTCTGCGTGTGCGAGAGGTCCAGCGCAGCATCCACCTCGTCCAGGATGTAGAGCGGCGCCGGCTTGAACAGCAGCATGGCGAGCACCGGCGAGATTAGCAGAGCTGCTCACCTGCGAGTGCTTGAAGTGCTCCTTGAGCATGTGTCCGATGTTCTGCGTGTGCGAGAGGTCCAGCGCAGCATCCACCTCGTCCAGGATGTAGAGCGGCGCCGGCTTGAACAGCAGCATGGCGAGCACCGGCGGGATTAGCAGAGCTGCTCACCTGCGAGTGCTTGAAGTGCTCCTTGAGCATGTGTCCGATGTTCTGCGTGTGCGAGAGGTCCAGCGCAGCATCCACCTCGTCCAGGATGTAGAGCGGCGCCGGCTTGAACAGCAGCATGGCGAGCACCGGCGAGATTAGCAGAGCTGCTCACCTGCGAGTGCTTGAAGTGCTCCTTGAGCATGTGTCCGATGTTCTGCGTGTGCGAGAGGTCCAGCGCAGCATCCACCTCGTCCAGGATGTAGAGCGGCGCCGGCTTGAACAGCAGCATGGCGAGCACCGGCGGGATTAGCAGAGCTGCTCACCTGCGAGTGCTTGAAGTGCTCCTTGAGCATGTGTCCGATGTTCTGCGTGTGCGAGAGGTCCAGCGCAGCATCCACCTCGTCCAGGATGTAGAGCGGCGCCGGCTTGAACAGCAGCATGGCGAGCACCGGCGGGATTAGCAGAGCTGCTCACCTGCGAGTGCTTGAAGTGCTCCTTGAGCATGTGTCCGATGTTCTGCGTGTGCGAGAGGTCCAGCGCAGCATCCACCTCGTCCAGGATGTAGAGCGGCGCCGGCTTGAACAGCAGCATGGCGAGCACCGGCGAGATTAGCAGAGCTGCTCACCTGCGAGTGCTTGAAGTGCTCCTTGAGCATGTGTCCGATGTTCTGCGTGTGCGAGAGGTCCAGCGCAGCATCCACCTCGTCCAGGATGTAGAGCGGCGCCGGCTTGAACAGCAGCATGGCGAGCACCGGCGAGATTAGCAGAGCTGCTCACCTGCGAGTGCTTGAAGTGCTCCTTGAGCATGTGTCCGATGTTCTGCGTGTGCGAGAGGTCCAGCGCAGCATCCACCTCGTCCAGGATGTAGAGCGGCGCCGGCTTGAACAGCAGCATGGCGAGCACCGGCGAGATTAGCAGAGCTGCTCACCTGCGAGTGCTTGAAGTGCTCCTTGAGCATGTGTCCGATGTTCTGCGTGTGCGAGAGGTCCAGCGCAGCATCCACCTCGTCCAGGATGTAGAGCGGCGCCGGCTTGAACAGCAGCATGGCGAGCACCGGCGGGATTAGCAGAGCTGCTCACCTGCGAGTGCTTGAAGTGCTCCTTGAGCATGTGTCCGATGTTCTGCGTGTGCGAGAGGTCCAGCGCAGCATCCACCTCGTCCAGGATGTAGAGCGGCGCCGGCTTGAACAGCAGCATGGCGAGCACCGGCGAGATTAGCAGAGCTGCTCACCTGCGAGTGCTTGAAGTGCTCCTTGAGCATGTGTCCGATGTTCTGCGTGTGCGAGAGGTCCAGCGCAGCATCCACCTCGTCCAGGATGTAGAGCGGCGCCGGCTTGAACAGCAGCATGGCGAGCACCGGCGAGATTAGCAGAGCTGCTCACCTGCGAGTGCTTGAAGTGCTCCTTGAGCATGTGTCCGATGTTCTGCGTGTGCGAGAGGTCCAGCGCAGCATCCACCTCGTCCAGGATGTAGAGCGGCGCCGGCTTGAACAGCAGCATGGCGAGCACCGGCGGGATTAGCAGAGCTGCTCACCTGCGAGTGCTTGAAGTGCTCCTTGAGCATGTGTCCGATGTTCTGCGTGTGCGAGAGGTCCAGCGCAGCATCCACCTCGTCCAGGATGTAGAGCGGCGCCGGCTTGAACAGCAGCATGGCGAGCACCGGCGGGATTAGCAGAGCTGCTCACCTGCGAGTGCTTGAAGTGCTCCTTGAGCATGTGTCCGATGTTCTGCGTGTGCGAGAGGTCCAGCGCAGCATCCACCTCGTCCAGGATGTAGAGCGGCGCCGGCTTGAACAGCAGCATGGCGAGCACCGGCGAGATTAGCAGAGCTGCTCACCTGCGAGTGCTTGAAGTGCTCCTTGAGCATGTGTCCGATGTTCTGCGTGTGCGAGAGGTCCAGCGCAGCATCCACCTCGTCCAGGATGTAGAGCGGCGCCGGCTTGAACAGCAGCATGGCGAGCACCGGCGAGATTAGCAGAGCTGCTCACCTGCGAGTGCTTGAAGTGCTCCTTGAGCATGTGTCCGATGTTCTGCGTGTGCGAGAGGTCCAGCGCAGCATCCACCTCGTCCAGGATGTAGAGCGGCGCCGGCTTGAACAGCAGCATGGCGAGCACCGGCGAGATTAGCAGAGCTGCTCACCTGCGAGTGCTTGAAGTGCTCCTTGAGCATGTGTCCGATGTTCTGCGTGTGCGAGAGGTCCAGCGCAGCATCCACCTCGTCCAGGATGTAGAGCGGCGCCGGCTTGAACAGCAGCATGGCGAGCACCGGCGGGATTAGCAGAGCTGCTCACCTGCGAGTGCTTGAAGTGCTCCTTGAGCATGTGTCCGATGTTCTGCGTGTGCGAGAGGTCCAGCGCAGCATCCACCTCGTCCAGGATGTAGAGCGGCGCCGGCTTGAACAGCAGCATGGCGAGCACCGGCGAGATTAGCAGAGCTGCTCACCTGCGAGTGCTTGAAGTGCTCCTTGAGCATGTGTCCGATGTTCTGCGTGTGCGAGAGGTCCAGCGCAGCATCCACCTCGTCCAGGATGTAGAGCGGCGCCGGCTTGAACAGCAGCATGGCGAGCACCGGCGAGATTAGCAGAGCTGCTCACCTGCGAGTGCTTGAAGTGCTCCTTGAGCATGTGTCCGATGTTCTGCGTGTGCGAGAGGTCCAGCGCAGCATCCACCTCGTCCAGGATGTAGAGCGGCGCCGGCTTGAACAGCAGCATGGCGAGCACCGGCGAGATTAGCAGAGCTGCTCACCTGCGAGTGCTTGAAGTGCTCCTTGAGCATGTGTCCGATGTTCTGCGTGTGCGAGAGGTCCAGCGCAGCATCCACCTCGTCCAGGATGTAGAGCGGCGCCGGCTTGAACAGCAGCATGGCGAGCACCGGCGAGATTAGCAGAGCTGCTCACCTGCGAGTGCTTGAAGTGCTCCTTGAGCATGTGTCCGATGTTCTGCGTGTGCGAGAGGTCCAGCGCAGCATCCACCTCGTCCAGGATGTAGAGCGGCGCCGGCTTGAACAGCAGCATGGCGAGCACCGGCGAGATTAGCAGAGCTGCTCACCTGCGAGTGCTTGAAGTGCTCCTTGAGCATGTGTCCGATGTTCTGCGTGTGCGAGAGGTCCAGCGCAGCATCCACCTCGTCCAGGATGTAGAGCGGCGCCGGCTTGAACAGCAGCATGGCGAGCACCGGCGGGATTAGCAGAGCTGCTCACCTGCGAGTGCTTGAAGTGCTCCTTGAGCATGTGTCCGATGTTCTGCGTGTGCGAGAGGTCCAGCGCAGCATCCACCTCGTCCAGGATGTAGAGCGGCGCCGGCTTGAACAGCAGCATGGCGAGCACCGGCGGGATTAGCAGAGCTGCTCACCTGCGAGTGCTTGAAGTGCTCCTTGAGCATGTGTCCGATGTTCTGCGTGTGCGAGAGGTCCAGCGCAGCATCCACCTCGTCCAGGATGTAGAGCGGCGCCGGCTTGAACAGCAGCATGGCGAGCACCGGCGAGATTAGCAGAGCTGCTCACCTGCGAGTGCTTGAAGTGCTCCTTGAGCATGTGTCCGATGTTCTGCGTGTGCGAGAGGTCCAGCGCAGCATCCACCTCGTCCAGGATGTAGAGCGGCGCCGGCTTGAACAGCAGCATGGCGAGCACCGGCGAGATTAGCAGAGCTGCTCACCTGCGAGTGCTTGAAGTGCTCCTTGAGCATGTGTCCGATGTTCTGCGTGTGCGAGAGGTCCAGCGCAGCATCCACCTCGTCCAGGATGTAGAGCGGCGCCGGCTTGAACAGCAGCATGGCGAGCACCGGCGAGATTAGCAGAGCTGCTCACCTGCGAGTGCTTGAAGTGCTCCTTGAGCATGTGTCCGATGTTCTGCGTGTGCGAGAGGTCCAGCGCAGCATCCACCTCGTCCAGGATGTAGAGCGGCGCCGGCTTGAACAGCAGCATGGCGAGCACCGGCGAGATTAGCAGAGCTGCTCACCTGCGAGTGCTTGAAGTGCTCCTTGAGCATGTGTCCGATGTTCTGCGTGTGCGAGAGGTCCAGCGCAGCATCCACCTCGTCCAGGATGTAGAGCGGCGCCGGCTTGAACAGCAGCATGGCGAGCACCGGCGAGATTAGCAGAGCTGCTCACCTGCGAGTGCTTGAAGTGCTCCTTGAGCATGTGTCCGATGTTCTGCGTGTGCGAGAGGTCCAGCGCAGCATCCACCTCGTCCAGGATGTAGAGCGGCGCCGGCTTGAACAGCAGCATGGCGAGCACCGGCGGGATTAGCAGAGCTGCTCACCTGCGAGTGCTTGAAGTGCTCCTTGAGCATGTGTCCGATGTTCTGCGTGTGCGAGAGGTCCAGCGCAGCATCCACCTCGTCCAGGATGTAGAGCGGCGCCGGCTTGAACAGCAGCATGGCGAGCACCGGCGGGATTAGCAGAGCTGCTCACCTGCGAGTGCTTGAAGTGCTCCTTGAGCATGTGTCCGATGTTCTGCGTGTGCGAGAGGTCCAGCGCAGCATCCACCTCGTCCAGGATGTAGAGCGGCGCCGGCTTGAACAGCAGCATGGCGAGCACCAGCGACAGCGCCACGAGCGAGCGCTGCCCGCCCGACAGCTCGCCCAGCGACTCCTTCCACTGCCCGTTGAACCCCACCTTCACCTGTACGTACCAATTTCATTTTTGTAGTTTACCCCTCAAGAATCGTTTCATATTACCGTGTAGTGGCGTAGTAAGAATATCCTTTACTCAATATCATCGCGTGGGTGTCGTAAGAAGGGAACAAATCAGGAGATGGGCAGCAATATCTTTCTCATTCTTTCCCTTTTTCTCTTTCTAAATATATGGAAAGCGTGGTGAGGCTAGCATAACAGTGTAACCACTGTTTCTATAATTTGACTATATTATATCAGTATACATGTGCAATATCGAAAGTCAATTTGTGGAAAAAAGAAGTGAAAACTTCTTTAGAAAGAATCTTTGTGTATTTGAAACTCGATGAAACGAAAAAGCTGCATTAAAAATAGGATATTATAATATAACTAGCTATTTCCCCGCGACTTTGCCCGTGTGGTATTTATTACGATTGTATTGTATGTATGTATATTGTGTGGCGATGTGTGACAAAGTGTCGCGGTATGTGGCGGTGTGTGGCGGTGTATGGCAGTGTGTGGCGTTGTGTGGCGGTGTGTGGCGGTGTGTGGCGGTGTGTGGCGGTGTGTGGCGGTGTGTGGCGGTGTGTGGCGGTGTGTGGCTGTGTGTGGCGGTGTGTGGCGGTGTGTGGCGGTGTGTGGCGGTGTGTGGCGGTGTGTGGCGGTGTGTGGCGGTGTGTGGCTGTGTGTGGCGGTGTGTGACCGTGTGTGTGCGGTGTGTGGCGGTGTGTGGTGATGTGTGGTGATGTGTGGCGGTGTGTGGCGGTGGGTGGTGGTGTGTGACGGTGTGTGGCTCTGTGTGTGGTTGTGTGTGACGGTGTGTGACGGTGTGTGACGGTGTGTGACGGTGTGTGACGGTGTGTGACGGTGTGTGACGGTGTGTGACGGTGTGTAGCGGTGTGACGGTATGTGGTATAATGAGACGGTGAGTGGAGTTGTACGGCACCTCGAGCCCGTCGAGCACGGAGAGGCCGGGCGGCGGCGTGAGGCGCGCCTGTGCGCCCGCCAGCAGCGTGCTGAAGATGGACCCGAAGTCACGGTTCACCTGCACACGCGTATACGTATTCAAAATATTTATTCACTTATTAAATATTGTGGCGGTGCTGTCGTCGCGCCACAAGCGAAACACATCGAAGCCTAAATCGCACTAACAAAGTTCCAAAGTTAAAGCAGCATATATAGAATAGCTCCGAACTACCACTCGGAGCGTTGGCCGCTCCCCGGGCTGAACACCTTGCCCGGCGGGAGATCTCCCTTTTTCCTTCCACCGTCACAATATTAAAGCGCATAAATATACAAACCTATTAAAACGCATTTTATTTATCCATACAACGTGTCCCGAAACTAAACGACAAGCGGGAGCGAGGCGAAAGGGGAGGGTCATACCAGCCCCGAGAAATGTGAAAAATCCATATCCTAATCCAATTATGAAAATGAGGAAAATCAACACTAAATCATATCACTAGGTATTGTGACCACAAATTTCTCGATTTTACAGTGATTTTTTCACTTACGTAGTCTTAAATAAACGTGCTATTAATCACAGTCACAAACCAAGCAAAAACAAGGTTGCTAGGTTAGTTAAAATTAACGTAGTTTCTTTTAGTTGTAGTTGAAAAATGAGTTCACCCAACTTTGATTCTTCATTAAAGAAACATGCTGTACCCTAGGCAAGTTAATTCAAAAGATGGCCCCTATTTATCCTAGATATCACGTTTCATCCTTAAAAAATTAAAATAATTTGATTTTCCGAAATAAGACCTAAAACCAAAACAGTTCCACACCAACACCACAATACATTTCATCTATTAAATATTGAATTCAACAATTGCAAATGAAAACAGAAATAGAAATAGTGAAAAAATCGTTGTAAAATTGAGAAATTTGTGGTCGCAATACGTAGTGATATGGTTTAGTGTTGATTTTCCTAATTTTCATAAATTTGTCAGAATTATAACTTGTAACTAAACTGATTGATATGGACTTTTTATATTTTCCGGGGCTGGTATACCCCCCCCCCCTCTCTCTCACCGTGTGCCCGCTTGACGTTGAGTTTCGGGACACGTTTGTATACATATATTGTAAATTCGTTAGAAACTTTTTATGGCGTGGTTTAGGTTTCCATTGTTGTTCAGTCCAGTTGTTGTGTAGCGATAACAATACACCATAGTTTACTCAATTGAACAAACGGTACACATAAGAACATAATATCAACATTACATTTTATTTTATTATTTTGCTTTATATACATACATCAACAGCTTGTATACTACATAACTTTGCCGCCGTTTGTACATTTAGCAAGCCTCTGTCACTCTTCCTACGTGTTTGATGTAAATACCTACAATCGCGCGGAACCTCAGGTTTAGGTTACACTGGCAGTCAGGATTAGCGCGTTTTATTCCAGCGACGTACTAGCCAGCCTGTATCACGCCGCGCTTTAGGCATGAAAATATACCAACGCTGCACGGTCGTCCATATGAGGTTAATTACGTGAGGGCGTCACACGCACGCTCGAACTGACGTGCGCCTTACGCTAACAAAAAATATTTTTGTATTATAAGTATTTAGGCATTTTTGATATTTATTTTTCCGTTTTTATTCTAGTATGGCCTCTCAAAAAACTAAAGGTACTGCACAGCATACGGATGCTTAAATAACAACAGTAATGTCGACTTTTCATTCTTTACTGTTCCTAAGGGTACCGAAAGGTATGTTATTATTATTTATAGGAAGATCTAGATAATTAAGTACCTAGTTACTGACGCCATAGTTACAATTTTATTATTTGATAAGCGACCTGACCACAGCTTTGCAGTTTTCGATTTTTTCGCGTATAACGCCAAAGACCTTAAAAAAAAATTCAGTGTAAGTAGACCTCCCAGTAACAGTGACTGCCTACTAATGCAAGATCAGCATATACTGGTTATTAGTTTAACACTTGGTCGATAAAAAAAAGAGATTGAAAATAGCAGCACTTCTCATTGCCACTCTTTCAGTAATAGTGCCGTTGCAGGCGGTTCCGTGGTACTGCACCACGGAACCGTCTGCAACGACACTATTGTATTGCAGCGCTAAGGGCCGCGGGTTCGAATCTCATACGGGACAAGTATTTGTATGGGCTACAAATAATTATTCTGGGTCTGGACTGGTAGTCATTGTGAAATCTATGTATGTAAACTGCCCCCGCGATACAAGAGAAAATCCTAGTGTCGAAGTAACGTTTTATAAAAAGAGAGAAAGCGAGACAAGTAATGAAATTAAAAATGTTGTATAACCGACTTCAATATTAATACGCACTATAATACGCATAATTAAGGATAACTCCAAACCTACTGGTCAGACCTTGATCAAATTTATATACAAAAATTATAATCACAATTGTAAGCAGCTTTCAAATAATAAAAAAATCATCAAAATCGGTTCACCTAGGAAAAAGTTCTGAGGTAACACACATAAAAAATACAGCCGAATTGACTACCTCCTTTTTGAAGTCAGTAAAAAATGGTAAGTAGGTAAATTATCTGAGTTTCAAAGAAGTTCACACTGTTATAATCTTAATTATTCTCGATGTGGCATACTAACCTTCCTCACATTGAACAATAATATTCCCTCGGTGTGTTCTACTACCAACTAATATCAAAGGATTCAATTTGTTTTCTCACAACACCTAACCTTACAGTAAGTGTGGTCTTAATAAAAGCGCGTAACGAGCTAAATGATACAGACTCTCGCACGCGGACGTAAAATGCATTTTGTTTTATAACATTACAAATAAATTTTTTCGACAATATAATCGGTAGGCTAATTTCAAAAGCACGAAGGTCGTGTCCGAGGCGGGCAAAGTATTATGAACATTAGCGAAGTTGTAACTAGGTTTAAACTCGCAAGTTTGTATCAGAGAGCGATCCTTCTGTTCTTGTACTATTATTTATTCTGTTGTAATAGTTAATTTAAAAGTTTTTTTTAACACTGTTGACGTAAACAGATTTCTTGTAAATACTTATATGAGCCGTGGTAGCTCATATAGTTAGTGCTCGCTGTAAGCTTCACAGTACTCGAGCAACCCGGGTTCGATCCCCGCCGGCACCAATGAAATTGTTAATTGCAATTTTAAGTGCTGATTTACCACGTGGTCGGCGGTGAAGGAAAACATCGTGAGGAAACCTGCATGTCTGAGAAATAAGAAAAAAAAATATTGCGAAGACATGTGAAGTACGCCAACACGCATTGGGGCAGCGCGGCGGACATTTTCTAACCCTAAAACCCTCTCAGAATGAGAAGAGGCCTGTGCCCAGCAGTGGGACCTAAATAGGCTGCAACTTTTTTTTTTACTTATATCAATATTTTTGTTTATTGTTTAGTATATTTAGTTATATAATAAAATAGTTGTAAAAGTTTAGTGTAATTTATATGTATATATTATATTATAAAAAATATGTTCATTAGCAATTTTTTAATAATGAGAAAACCACCAAATAATATTAAAATATTCTACGCGCACAATAGTTCTGTCCCACATAGGTATAAAGCGACCTTGGCCGCAACTGCTACGCAACGTAGGCACTTGCCTTGTAGTCGTCTGCGGTGAGTCGAGAAGGCAAGTAATCTGCGAGAGTTCCGTGAAACAGAGGCGAGTTATAAGGCTCAGAGCCGTACCGAACACTACAGTGTTGTTAAGCTACTCTCGCAGTGAGTAGCTTGAAGGGACCGGAAGGATTTATTATTCCAGTTCTGCAATTAACCTTTGTAAAGCTAGATGGCTTGCAGAATGTGAAGACTGCAGACAATATCTGCACGGGAGCGAATGAATGCGGTACTTGAGGACGATGACGAAAGCTTAAAGTAGAGGTTTCCGGAGGTTCTTGGATGCGTGTTCATATCACGTTGAATGTTCACCACTGTGTAGGTGGATGGAAAAGCGAAGATATCCCACCGGGCAAGGTGTTCTACCCGGGAAGCGGCCAACGCTCCAAGTGGTAGTTTGGAGCTATTCTATATAACTTTGATAGCGCGATTTAGGCTTCGATATATTTTCACCTGTGGCGCGACGACAGCGCCACCACAGTACAATTCGGATTGCAAACTCAGAAAATCATGGGTTCAAATCCGCTATTTATCTACTATGGTGAACAACTGTTAACACATGCATTTTTAAGCTAAGTTAGAGTATTGAAATCTAAAAAAATTTTTAAAAACATTCAAACGATTGTTGATTTAATACAAATACAACACTAAACATTTGGTTATTAAAAAACTAACCTGTTCGCAAGCGCCGACAAGGGTACGTTTTTTCTTCTCGTCTAATTCAGCCATAACTTGTACTAGCTTAGCCCGGTCTGCTTCCACGATCTTCTTTTTCCTCATCACATCTTGATACTGTGGTACGAAATAAAAGAGAATGTCATAAACGTAGTCATTATTTAAATTATATACAAAAAAAAAATCATTAATACACTTATACATACTTTATACATTTATCATTTTATTAGAAGGCAAATATCATCATTTCATCATTACAACCTTTCATAAGTCCACTGCTGAACATAGGCCTCCCCTAAGGAATACCACAAAGCACGGTCCTGAGCCACCTGCATCCATCGACTCCCTGCATGTCTTACTACTCCATCTCGTGGGGGGTCGCCCTACACTTCGCCTACCGGTACGAGGCTGCCACTCAAGAACCTTTCTTCCCCATCGGTTGTCGGTTCTTCGAGCTATATGGCCGGCCCACTGCCACTTCAGCTTACTAATCCGTTGGGCTATGTCGGTTACTCTGGTTCTACTGCGGATATACTCATTTCTAAGTTTATCACTCAGAGAAACCCCGAGCATAGCCCTCTCCATAGCTCGCTGAGCGACCTTGAGCTTCCTCATACGGCCAGCAATGAAGGACCTCTCAGATCCGTAAGTCATCACTGGTAACACGCACTGGTTGTACAATTTCATTTTAAGGTTTTGAGGTATGTCTGACGAGAAGATGTGTCGTAGCTTACCCAACGCTGCCCAGGCAAGTTGAATCCGTCGATTGACCTCTCGGTCGAAGTTGGACTTACCTAGTCGGACTATTTGTCCCAGGTAAACATACTCGTCAACAACTTCGAGCTTAATGCTCCCAATAACTACCGGCATACAAGACCTATTCGTTGGGAGACACTATTGAGGTCATTGAGCATAGTGCTTAGGTCCTCCAGCGATTCTGCCATAAGGACTATATCGTCGGCAAATCGAAGGTAAGTGATGTACTCGCCATTGATGTTGATACCGTATCCTTTCCAGTCCAGAAGCTTGAAAACGTCTTCCAATGCAGCGGTGAAGAGTTTCGTGGATATGACGTCATCCTGTATTACACCTCTCTGCTATTGGATAGGTTTCGTACTCTAGTTCTGTACTCGGATAGCCATCGTAGCCCTACTGTACAAGCACTTCAGCACTTCGATATACCGACAGTCCACTTGGTACCGCTGAAGGGACTGCAGCACCGCCCAAATTTCGACGGAGTCAAAGGCTTTCTCATAGTCCACATACGCCAGAAATAGTGGCAAATTGTACTCCTCTGACTTTTGTACAATTTGCCGAAGGGTATGTATGTGGTGTATGGTGCTAAAGCCTTTTCGCAAACCGGCTTGTTCGGGAGGCTGGAAGTCGTCAAGTCTGCGCGCGTGACGATTCGTAATTACTCTCGAAAACAGCACGTAGACGCGACTCAGAAGGGAAATCGGTCTGTAGTTCTTCACGAAAGCGTTGTCGCCTTTCTTGAAGAACAAGACCACCGCACTTCTGCTCCACGCCGCCGGTGTAATGCCACCATGGAGGACGGAATTAAAGAGCTTCTGAAGGACTTCAAGTACCGGTTTTCCACCCGCTTTCAGTAGTTCCGCTGTAATTCCATCCTCGCCTGGGGCCTTGCCGTTTTAAAGGTGCTGGAGAGCCATTCTAATCTCGCTCAGACTGACGTTCGGGATATCATCGGAATAATGTCGGATAAGACTCGCTCTTGGATCGTTACTCACACTCGCGTGTGGCTCCAACGATGACGTGTACAGCTGCCCATAGAACCTCTCAATCTCACTCAAAATCTCAAGTGCCCCGGAAACGATGCTGCCACATTCTGTCTTCAGCTTTGACAGTTGGCTCTTTCTGGCAGACAGATCTCTGGCAAAGACTTTGGAGCCTTGGTTCCGCTCGATCGCTTCTTCAATACGAGCTGTATTGAAGTTGCGTAAGTCCCGCCGCATGCATTTGGAGATCTGTCTGTTTAGTTGCCTGTATGCTGATAAATCTGTTGAAGAATGAAGCTTCATCTTCAACAGATTTATTATTCAGGCACTGAAAACGATTTTGTAACTCGAGCTGAAATGTTTCGGGACTTTGGAACAGAGCACGAGGGGGACGGAGCGTTGACTTCATTAGACGAGACCTCTCCAACTTAACGTTTAGGTTCAGTGTGCCTCTAACCATTCGGTGATCGCTACCAGTTTTCACCCTCGCGATCACGGAGACATCACTGAACAGTTGTCGTCTGGTCGTCATAATGAAGTCAATCTCACTTTTTGTGGAACCGTCGGGGCTCGACCAGGTCCACTTCCTGTGGGGCCGCTTCTGGAAGAAAGAGTTCATCATAAAGAGTCCGTCTTTCTCCATGAAGTCGGACAGCTGCTGGCCCTTTGGGTTCCGTTGCCCTATTCCAAATTTCCCCACTTTCAGCTCACCGTTCTCTCTTGTGCCTAGTTGTGCATTGAAGTCTCCCATTAACACCGTATATTGGGTTTTGGAGGAATGCATGGCTCTAGAGATATCCTCATACATTTCCTCTACCTCCTCATCGGGGTGTGCCGAGGTTGGTGCGTAAACCTATATGACCTTTAGCGAATATCGTTTGGTGATTCTGAGTATAAGATACACAACCCTCGTCGACACACTCTCAATCTTTACAACGTTGTTAACGAGAGACTTGTAAACGATAAATCAGACACGTCCTTGAGACCGTGTCCTCCCCCTCTCTTCGGACTTCGGATAATCCCATAATATGCCAGCGTAACTTCTCTATCTCTTCTTCCAGCTCCACGATCTTCTCGTCAATTTTCAAGGTGCGTGCGTTGTATGTTGCCAGGTCGAGTCATCTTAGGTGGCAACCGAACCTCCACCGGAGATTCTTAGCACCCCCTGCCCCGCCGTTACCATGGTCGCCATCGTAGCCAGGAATAGCGGGGCCGCCGGGGACTGGGGGCCGTCTCTTTGTTGCTTTAATCATTGGGTGGTAGTTGCCACGCTTGGCGAGCGGGTTGGCAACCGCAGTTTTTTTATTGTAAGTTTGTTGTTATCAGGAAGATGCTGCTGCCCATCTCCTGCCTGTTTCCCTTTGTCGCCTTTTACGACACCCACGGGAAGATATGAGGTAGTGGATATTCTTAACCGCCACTACAAGGCAAATATATATAAGTTGAGGCCGCGCGCCAGCTTGTCGCGCCGCTCCTGCAGCTGCTGCAGCTGCTGCAGCCGCTGTATACCGTACTGCACTGTACTGAGCTGTGCACACCTGCTCCTCCTCCTTGCCCAGCAGCGTGTGGGCGCGCGCGTTGAGGCCGCGCGCCAGCTTGTCGCGCCGCTCCTGCAGCTGCTGCAGCTGCTGCAGCCGCTGTATACCGTACTGCACTGTACTGAGCTGTGCACACCTGCTCCTCCTCCTTGCCCAGCAGCGTGTGGGCGCGCGCGTTGAGGCCGCGCGCCAGCTTGTCGCGCCGCTCCTGCAGCTGCTGCAGCTGCTGCAGCCGCTGTATACCGTACTGCACTGTACTGAGCTGTGCACACCTGCTCCTCCTCCTTGCCCAGCAGCGTGTGGGCGCGCGCGTTGAGGCCGCGCGCCAGCTTGTCGCGCCGCTCCTGCAGCTGCTGCAGCTGCTGCAGCCGCTGTATACCGTACTGCACTGTACTGAGCTGTGCACACCTGCTCCTCCTCCTTGCCCAGCAGCGTGTGGGCGCGCGCGTTGAGGCCGCGCGCCAGCTTGTCGCGCCGCTCCTGCAGCTGCTGCAGCTGCTGCAGCCGCTGTATACCGTACTGCACTGTACTGAGCTGTGCACACCTGCTCCTCCTCCTTGCCCAGCAGCGTGTGGGCCGCGCGCGTTGAGGCCGCGCGCCAGCTTGTCGCGCCGCTCCTGCAGCTGCTGCAGCTGCTGCAGCCGCTGTATACCGTACTGCACTGTACTGAGCTGTGCACACCTGCTCCTCCTCCTTGCCCAGCAGCGTGTGGGCGCGCGCGTTGAGGCCGCGCGCCAGCTTGTCGCGCCGCTCCTGCAGCTGCTGCAGCTGCTGCAGCCGCTGTATACCGTACTGCACTGTACTGAGCTGTGCACACCTGCTCCTCCTCCTTGCCCAGCAGCGTGTGGGCGCGCGCGTTGATGCCGCGCGCCAGCTTGTCGCGCCGCTCCTGCAGCTGCTGCAGCTGCTGCAGCCGCTGTATACCGTACTGCACTGTACTGAGCTGTGCACACCTGCTCCTCCTCCTTGCCCAGCAGCGTGTGGGCGCGCGCGTTGAGGCCGCGCGCCAGCTTGTCGCGCCGCTCCTGCAGCTGCTGCAGCTGCTGCAGCCGCTGTATACCGTACTGCACTGTACTGAGCTGTGCACACCTGCTCCTCCTCCTTGCCCAGCAGCGTGTGGGCGCGCGCGTTGAGGCCGCGCGCCAGCTTGTCGCGCCGCTCCTGCAGCTGCTGCAGCTGCTGCAGCCGCTGTATACCGTACTGCACTGTACTGAGCTGTGCACACCTGCTCCTCCTCCTTGCCCAGCAGCGTGTGGGCGCGCGTTGAGGCCGCGCGCCAGCTTGTCGCGCCGCTCCTGCAGCTGCTGCAGCTGCTGCAGCCGCTGTATACCGTACTGCACTGTACTGAGCTGTGCACACCTGCTCCTCCTCCTTGCCCAGCAGCGTGTGGGCGCGCGCGTTGAGGCCGCGCGCCAGCTTGTCGCGCCGCTCCTGCAGCTGCTGCAGCTGCTGCAGCCGCTGTATACCGTACTGCACTGTACTGAGCTGTGCACACCTGCTCCTCCTCCTTGCCCAGCAGCGTGTGGGCGCGCGCGTTGAGGCCGCGCGCCAGCTTGTCGCGCCGCTCCTGCAGCTGCTGCAGCTGCTGCAGCCGCTGTATACCGTACTGCACTGTACTGAGCTGTGCACACCTGCTCCTCCTCCTTGCCCAGCAGCGTGTGGGCGCGCGCGTTGAGGCCGCGCGCCAGCTTGTCGCGCCGCTCCTGCAGCTGCTGCAGCTGCTGCAGCCGCTGTATACCGTACTGCACTGTACTGAGCTGTGCACACCTGCTCCTCCTCCTTGCCCAGCAGCGTGTGGGCGCGCGCGTTGAGGCCGCGCGCCAGCTTGTCGCGCCGCTCCTGCAGCTGCTGCAGCTGCTGCAGCCGCTGTATACCGTACTGCACTGTACTGAGCTGTGCACACCTGCTCCTCCTCCTTGCCCAGCAGCGTGTGGGCGCGCGCGTTGAGGCCGCGCGCCAGCTTGTCGCGCCGCTCCTGCAGCTGCTGCAGCTGCTGCAGCCGCTGTATACCGTACTGCACTGTACTGAGCTGTGCACACCTGCTCCTCCTCCTTGCCCAGCAGCGTGTGGGCGCGCGCGTTGAGGCCGCGCGCCAGCTTGTCGCGCCGCTCCTGCAGCTGCTGCAGCTGCTGCAGCCGCTGTATACCGTACTGCACTGTACTGAGCTGTGCACACCTGCTCCTCCTCCTTGCCCAGCAGCGTGTGGGCGCGCGCGTTGAGGCCGCGCGCCAGCTTGTCGCGCCGCTCCTGCAGCTGCTGCAGCTGCTGCAGCCGCTGTATACCGTACTGCACTGTACTGAGCTGTGCACACCTGCTCCTCCTCCTTGCCCAGCAGCGTGTGGGCGCGCGCGTTGAGGCCGCGCGCCAGCTTGTCGCGCCGCTCCTGCAGCTGCTGCAGCTGCTGCAGCCGCTGTATACCGTACTGCACTGTACTGAGCTGTGCACACCTGCTCCTCCTCCTTGCCCAGCAGCGTGTGGGCGCGCGCGTTGAGGCCGCGCGCCAGCTTGTCGCGCCGCTCCTGCAGCTGCTGCAGCTGCTGCAGCCGCTGTATACCGTACTGCACTGTACTGAGCTGTGCACACCTGCTCCTCCTCCTTGCCCAGCAGCGTGTGGGCGCGCGCGTTGAGGCCGCGCGCCAGCTTGTCGCGCCGCTCCTGCAGCTGCTGCAGCTGCTGCAGCCGCTGTATACCGTACTGCACTGTACTGAGCTGTGCACACCTGCTCCTCCTCCTTGCCCAGCAGCGTGTGGGCGCGCGCGTTGAGGCCGCGCGCCAGCTTGTCGCGCCGCTCCTGCAGCTGCTGCAGCCGCTGCCCGGCTACACCGGCTTGCCTCGCCGCGAAGTCGTACATCCCACCGGCAGCACCGAAATACTGCCGCTCCGATAGAATCCAAGGGTTCTCGGTCTCCAATGATTTTATCTATACATATAAATAAAATTGAAGTGTATGTCTGTTATATCAAAATAACTGACTTCGATTATGCTCAGAGGGTATTAGCATGCTATTAATACAATAATAACTATTTAAAAAAAAATTGTCTATCCGTCAGGACTCATTTTCGGAATGGCTTAACCGATTGCTAAACCTATATTGTTTGGAAACCTTTTTCTTTTAAAAAAACCTAAAATTTTATAAACCAAATGTTCTTTTATTATCTAATACCTAAATAACGTCACATTATAAGATCCTTTGCAGTCCCAAGACCGGGCGAGTCGATAATCTATAACAAACTTTATATTTAATATCTTCTAGAGGAAACAATGTCCTGTTCAATTGTGGACTTTCGATAAGCTATAGTGTAAGCGTAAGTAATAAGTGTAAGTGGTAGACTGAAAAAAAGTGACCCGACGGTCTCATTTTTAAACATTTGATTTCAAATGTTGCACAAATATAACGCTAATTTAAATTAAATAACAAATGACGTTTTTGAGATAAACCCAAAATTACAAAAATTATAAAATAGAGTACTTTCACAATTTAAATGTTACATAAATCAATATATAAAACATAAAATACGCAACATTTTAACTTGTGTAGTGTTTGCATATATATAGTATACAGTAAATATTGTTATTTGTTTATTTACTAATAATTTACCATGCACAAATACACAAACATACATTTATATATAAGTCACTGTCTCGAGCGCACCGCGTCAGTTACACGAGAGCCTCGGGCGAGAGTGGACGTGTTTAGTTAAGTACGTGCCGAGCCTGTGTTACACTACAGTGATTAGAGAAGATAGCAGACAATACAACTTGTATGTTATGTTTGGGTACAACACATTTTTCTATTCAAAACAGGCAATTAAGTAACTACTACCTTACCTTCTTTTCACACTCAGTGGCTTCAGTCTGTAACTCTTTAATCTTGTAGTCCAACTCTTTTATTTTTAACTCCAGCTCGTTATTATTTTTATGCAATTTTTCCTTCTTATGTGATAGCTTAGCAATGTCGCCATTACGACTTGCTATCTCTGCTTTTTTCCGCTTAATTTTTGCTTGTATCTCTTTAACTTCTTCCTGAAATTGAGAAAATCATTAAAAAGTGATATATCTGGTCTGGGGAAAAGTTTCTTCGTCTTTTATATAGAAATTCAAAACATTTTTTTTTCAAAGTTTAATAACATTTAATTATATGTGCTACTTTGTTCAATAACTTTGTAATATAATTAATAGAATCAGGCGTTACTTTGCGGAAATCCATTATATAAAAGCTTTTAGTTTCTAAAAGCTTTTATACAATAACTTTGTTGCCATCTTGTAGGTAGTGACATAATCCCGATGCTGTAGAAATCTTGGGATTTTTAATCAAAAAAACGCGACAAGTAGTTTTGACAGGCCTCTCTGATGTTGACCTAACACTACCCAAAGAATTCTGATGAGACCGAAGCAGGGGAGAGTCTGAGGGTGCAAGGTGAGGACTTATGGTGGATGCATTAACACTTCCCAACCAATCTCTCTCAATTTTTAGTGATTTTTGGAAAGATGTGTGTGGTCTGGCGATATCGTGATGAAAGACAACTTCTTATCTGTCGATCAATTACGGCAATTTTTTTTCAATTTCTTGCTTGAGTCTCATTAGTTGTTGGCAGTAGAGATTCGAATCGATGGTTTTGCCCGGCGGTTACAGCTCATTATAAACGATAACCTTCCAATCCCATCACACACACTACATCACCTTATTCCGTGTTAATCCAGGTTTCGCTACAGTCTGTGGAGCTTGACTACCCTTTGACCATGATCTATTTCGCACACTCTTGTCATAGGTGATCCACTTTTTATCACCAGTGATCAATATTTTAAAAAAAGGGTTCGGTTTCATTAAGTTTCAATAGAGAATCGCAAATGAGTACACGATTCATTAGGTTTCTTTCAGTGAGTTCGTGTGGTACCCAATAAAAACATGGAGCTTTTTTGTATAGCCAGACTTTTTCAAATGGGTCAAAATTGTTTTGTGGTCAATCCTCAATTCCTCGGCTACATAGTAACTACTATTATGCCCGATCTTGCTCCACTTTTTAAAAAATGGCATCGACTTTACCCGTGAGTGCGACCAGATCAAGCTGCATCTTTGACATCAAAATTCCCGGACTGAAAACGCTTGAACTAACTTTGTACTACTCTTACTAACCAGAATTAAGTCCAAAAAGGTCACAAATTTTATTCGCGGCTTGAGTCACATTTTTCCCTTTTTTTGTTATAAAACTTCAGAATGTATCGAATTTCTTCGTTAAATTCGCTCATTTTGGCGGACAGAAAAGCAATTGAAAAATGACGAGAAAGTGTTTTCTACTTTTTATTCTTCTTTTTATTGAGACAATATGTATAGATATTAAAACCAGCCATATACAAACAGTACAACCAGTGAGATTTTTCTTCAATTATAAAATTGAAGAAAAATCAAATGTTGTATAAACAAACAAAATACGAAGAAACTTTTTCCCGACCCATTATTTAATTTCACCATTTTAACATGTCCAGAAACCAGGGTTGGAAAAAGTCATGATTTTTTTTAAAAAAATCGAATAAAGCACGATTTTTTTAAAAAATCGTAATTAATCACGATTTGTTTGATTTTTTCATTTCATTATTTAAATTAACTATATTTTTTTCGCAAAACGGAACGCGCCCTCAAGGAATTGCGCGAACACAGCGCGGAGATTTCCCTTTTCTCTGACATGTGAATTAGGCAGACTCTCTAGCATTAAAAAGTCTTATTAAGAGCTAAGCGTATTTAAAAGTTTATTAATTTAATATTTACTCTATATTATAATTTACAATAAAATGTTGATTATTATTAAATGTTAATGATTATTAGGTATTTAGTATTTACACTTAATATAAAAGTTTCATATTTTCTGCTTTTCAAATGATTTTACTATTTTTATTGATTCTTTTATGAAGTAGACATAATCAGTTATATTTTATTAATGTTCAGAAACATTATTTGTACGATAAAATATTTTATTTTATTACATATTGAAATTTTTCGCCTCCGGCACATTTTTCAAAATGATCCCACAGCTGTGTTACGTCTCGGCATCATAAAAGGTGAAAATTAAACTCTTAACAAAAATCTTATAATTTTACACTACACTAAATAATAAAAAACCAAACAAAAAAACCTGATTAACTTCCCTAGTACTTTTTTCCAAATTTTTATATAAATCCCTTGTCATATTTTGATGAAAATGTAAACTAAACAAAATAATATTAAACTGACGCGCTTCGTTTAAATTAATACCAACCAATATTTCAGCCAATAGTGTAACAATGAAGTACATAAAATTAACATCAACCACTAATGAATTCAACCAATAGCGTTACATCTATGTGTTAAAAATATCATTTTGTACGTTTTAATAAAAATGATTGAGTAAATCATTGATTTTTATTGAAAACATCATTTGATTTAAATCATGACTTAAATCAAAATGATTTAATTATGCTAACCCTGCCAGAAACCAGATTCGGTTATGGCAAATAAAGTTGCGACTTGGATTTTAAGTCAAGCCCGGCTCTACGGCTGCAGATCGGGATATCCCCCTCTTTTATCTCTCCCTCTCGTCCCCTACTACAGTTAAGAGGTCACGGCGCAACTCAGCCATCACAGAGGTGGCATCCGGTTGTCTCTCGGCTATACCGGAAATTCTTCACCTTGTGGCTGGTTATTTTGCGCCTGCTAGCAAAATTGACTTTAATCAGAAGTTTTATTTCTATTTTAAAACATTTTGGCACCGAAATATACACATACCAAGGCATTAGCATGTTCTTTCTTCGCCGCAGCAAGATTTTCTTGCAAATCTTTGGAGGCCTCATTTGTTTCGTTCAATTGTTGCGTACTCGTTGCCACAGCTTGCTCCAGCTCGCGGACCTCCAGCTTCAAGGTTTCGAACTCTTGTTCCCGTTTCTTCCACGAACTACTGTGATTCTCTGCATCTTTTTTGGCCTTTTTCAACGCCTCCTCTGCTTTTTTGAACTCTCTGTGAAAGACATTTTATTATAATAAGTACTTCAATTAATCATATGAGTGTCTACTACCCAATTGAATTATTTTTTAAAGGTTTTATTAAGTTTCTTTTAATATATTAAAGTATTATTTTACGAGCATTGATTGCTACGTATATATACCATTATTTATTTAATAGGTTATGTCCGGCTCGAAGGACCATTAAATTTAGGCAGTAACGAAGTGCTCATACATAGAACTGCAATTGTATTTAAATACACTATTAGTGCGTATGTGCATACACAAATAATATAATAATCCATTTTCCTGTTACTCTTTTTTATTAAAAACGTCACGTATATTTTAAATGTACTGTGTCATGTGTGTAGACTTAACTATGCGAATAAATGTCGTGATCTTTTTATGCCTTTAATACATCTGTAGTAAATGTCGTGATAGTCTCTTGTAGTCTAAAACCATGTATTTGTAAATTTTTAAACCCTGAGAATCTTATTAAATGCAAAAACAAGAAAAACCAACCAAATGTCAACATTGTAAGAAGCAAATTCAAATTATATGACGTAGTTATATGTTAATTACGGAGTCAACGAACGAATCGTTTGTTGGCAATACAAATTCTTTCCCACGTGGGAATTAACCTACAACCCGAAGTGACTAAGCACATACTTATCCCAGACAAATGATTAAATAGCCACTGAGCTAACTGTCAACGCAAATTTCGTAGGAATTATTTATGGCTTAAGTAATAAAAATAAATAAAGAAGACTAATGTGCTTGAAATTAAAAATTTCGGGTTGGTATTCAAGGAATCTAGAGTTTAACACAAGTTAGGCCAAAAATATCGTAATTTAGATGCTCTCTCATTTTTTTTTAAGCAATAACTATATAATATTTTTCGGTAACATGAAAAGCATGTTATTGAATTGAATAGTATGAATTAGATTCTTTATCGCCTTAATTTTTTTGTAAATCTTTATTTTCCTGATAATGAACAAAAACGTTTCAAATAAAGTAAGTTTTTGTCCACCGAATGTCACATGTTTACTTCGTGCTAGACAAATATGCATGCAGGGGAGAAAGGTGTGCTAAAAGCCTTTCAACGTAGGAAATCTTGGACTTAAGCTAAAACTCACAATGTTAAAATTGATGTAACATTATGAATGAATGAATGAATATCTTTATTTTGCAAATATTGGTGATACAGAATGTGATGACAAATATATAGTATAGATTCCACCATATTTTACCAGAAGGCATGCAAAAAAATATAATATAACTTTATATCAATTTACGTAGATATATATTCACAACACAATATCACATTAGATTAACAAAAATAAAAAAGTCTCTTCAAATAATATGTAAGTCTAATAAGTCAATCGGTACATTATTGACACTATTATTTAATTATTATAAGCCATCGTCAAATTAATTACATTAATAATAATACAATTTATAAATAAATTTTCATGTTACAAAGGTACAAATTTTAACATAACATTTTGTCCATTAAAAAATTCATTAATATTATAGTACACCTTGTCTGCTAAAAAGTTTCGTAGCCTAGTCTTAAATAATGAAGTGTTGAGATCCCTCCAACACTTGGCTAATTTGTTGTAACAGCCGGCCCCATACAGCAGACACTGTTGCGTATTAGTGCTGTTTTTCCCTTAGGAATGTAAACTCTACTATTGTCGCGTCTGTTTCTTGGGGCAAGGTCAAGGAGTTTACAAAAACTGTATATACAAGGTAGAGATATTTTATATTGTTTAAAATATGGCTTACAGCTATCGGTACTCTTGAGCTTAAACATGGAACGTATACACCTTTTTTGGGCCGTGAATACGTTTCCAAATACGCAATACGCGTACGAATTCATATTGTGTACAAAGTCGTATATTGCAATATTTATTGTATTACGCTGCTTAAATCCTTTCTGTGTCTCACACAATATATTATGTTTTTCTACATATTTATATAATTTATTGTAAATGTACTTTTCAATTATTTTTGAATTTATGGGAATGAGTGAAATTGGTCTATATTTTTCAATGAATTCTCTATTTTTTTTTTTCATAAATAATGGTTTTATTATAGATATTTAATTACCTTTGTACAAATGTCATCATAACATACACTGCATGTGTTTTTCAGAGACATTATTATTTCCTTTACCTCATATGCTGTACTAGGCTTATACGTTTAGGACAAGGACGTCGCCGCATAACGACGCGCATGGGGATCGCCTTAACCCTGCGACAAGCATGCGAGAGCTACCGGGCCCCGTGCGAGCCCGGCTAAAGACGTTAGCACCAACTACGAAGATTCGCTTTGCAAACTGGAACATTGGCACGCTTACGGGACGCTCCGCAGAACTTGCGACCATACTTGCCAGGCGTAAAGTGGCAGTGGCATTCCTGCAGGAGACACGGTGGAAGGCCAACAGGAGCCGGAATATTGGGCACGGCTACAAGCTGATCTATACAGGCTCCTCTGGTAGAGAGAACGGTGTGGCAGTGGTGCTCGCCGAGCATTTCCACGATAGCGTCTTGGAAGTTAGACGCATATGCGACCGACTTATGGTAGTAAGGTTGCTTATTGAGGGGGTCGTGACCCACTTAATAAGTGCCTACGCCCCACAGGTCGGCTGCAGCGACGCGGATAAGACGCTGTTTTGGGATCGGCTCGGAGATATACTACGCGGCATACCGTTGTCCCACGATGTCGTTTTGGGTGGCGACCTGAACGGTCATGTGGGCACAAATTACTTAATAGTTTTAAACAGATACATCACTCCTATACAAAAGCGAAAATACCTAAGCTATAATAGCCTACAAAATCTTAATGATAATATATGCTGTTCGCAGCCAGAAGAAAATGTACCATAAGTAAGCATATAAAGAGTCGAGATTGTGTTGACCGCCGTGCGCCTCACGTGCAAGCGCGTCGTTGTACAAATGCGCTAGGGTTGTACCTATGATGATTATTGTAATAAAACGAATCTTGCGAAATAACCATATTTTTATTTGTCAATCAAATATGTTTGAGTTTTATAAAATGATTTATACATTTTTTTCCTTCTCTAAATTCTCGGTTATTAAATCTTATCGTTGAAAATATCCTAAATCGAGTAAATAATTTTAATAAATAATCATGAGGAAAACAGGAGCAAAGCGGAGGGAAATCATATGTAAAATTTGTAACACGCTGCTGCCAGGCCGATTCATTATGGCGTTGTCAAAATTATTTAAGACTTATTATATAATTTGGGTGTCCAGGTTGTCACTCAATTTATAAATCACAGCACTGTTATGCTGTTGCTTCGATGGAATCTTATAGTTAAGAAAAAAAATGACAATTTTTCGTTTGTTTTTTGACTCTCACACCCATCCACCGCAAAATAATTACGTGGTTTCGGCATTTAGACGAGTAAGCGCGGGAAACGTGCGCAGTGCAAGCGCTCAGGCGGGCGTGCGGCAGCCCAACCCCAATGTCGGTTGTATCGTAGGCGATACGCAAAACGGTAGGCATATAACGCAGGGCCTTGAGCAAGTGACGGAGGCCTGATGTGGGCGAGGTGCAGGGGGAGTATGAACGTGTCCACGGCGGCTATGGTTACGGCCGAAGAAACGCAGAGGGGGAAACCATTCTAAGAACCTGCACTGCAGCTGTCCTGGCCGTGGTGAACACATTCTTCAAAAAGAAAACCGAGCACCTGATTACCTACAGGAGCGGTCGGAACGCCACTCAAATCGACTATCTACTGACCAGGAGAAGTCATATCAGTCGCGTGGCCAACTATAAGGTCATACCCGGTGAGTGTCTCACTGCCCAACACCGACTTCTTGTCATGGACCTCTGCGTAAAACCCCGTCGCAGACACGCCGAATGTTGCCGCCGTCAAATCAAGTGGTGGCTTCTGGATCCAACCAGATACTCAGAGTTTGACTCTGCCGCTGGGGATGTTAGTCTCGACACAGCAGGCAAGGCCGTCCAAGAGTGCTGGAAAACCATTCAGACAGCAATCACAAAGACGGCAAAGCAAGTTCTCGGCGTGGCGAAGGGGGCCGCAAAATCGACAAGGAGACCTGGTGGTGGGACGTCACAGTCCAGGGTTCATTACGGGAGAAGAAAGTGCTCTTCAAGACGTGGCAAGCGACCAAATCTCCTGAAGATCGCGCATCTTACAAGACAGTGAAAAGAGCTGCCAAGAAAGCTGTAGCCAGAGCAGGCGTGACCACTTGAAACCATTATATGCTAAGTTGGACACTCCTGAGGGGCACAAGCTCATATATAAACTGGCGCGCTCTAGGGCCAAAGCAGCGCAAGATATTACTCGCTGCTGCAGCGTCAACGGCCCTAATGGCGAGCTCCTATACGATGATCGTGCGGTGAAGGAGAGATGGCGCTCTTATTTCCACGTTTTGCTGAATACTCATCACCGGGAAGTGCACCCTCCCGAACAACTCCCGAACCATGTACTCGTGCCACCGATTACACCTGACGTGGTCCTCGCATCTCTTCGTCACATGGAGAATCGGAAAGCTGTCGGACCGGACGAGGTGCCAATTGAAGCGTGGAAGGCGCTGGGGGCTAGTGGTGTGTGCATTCTTACTAACCTTTATAACAGAATCCTGAGCGACCGAATAATGCCCGATCAGTGGCGGCTTAGTGTAATAACGCCGGTCCACAAGGGTAAAGGGTCCGTTCAGGATTGCGGTCATTACCGCGGTATAAAGGTGATGTCACACACCATGAAGCTCTTCGAACGCATTATTGACACCAGGATCCGCCAGGAGTGTACAGTGTAGTCTCAGTACGGTTTCTTACCAGGACGCGGTACCATGGACCCTATATTCGCCCTAAGGATCCTCATGGAGAAGCACAGGGAAAAGAAAATGCCTCTGCATTTTTTATTCCTAGACCTGCACAAGGCCTTTGACTGTGTTCCCAGGGAGATGATCTGGTGGGCCTTGCGGTCGAAGTTGGTACCAGAGACCTACGTGGAAATCG